AAGCCCGCCTTTTTGTGAATGAAGTCCACCTGCGCTGTAATTCTCTTGAAGTCCTCTTCTGAATGGAAGCTGTGCAGGTAGTCATCCATGTAATGGTTCAGCTCGATTGCCTTTGCTGCCTCTGGGTACTGCTTCTTGTAGTCCGCCGCGTTCCGGTTCTTCACGTAGATCGCTGTGCTAGGAGATGATGTCGCGCCGAAGATGACTGATGTCATTCTGTACTCCTTCGGTGCTACGTCACGACGATCCCCTCGCCACAGGAACTTCAAGCTGTTTCTATCTTCTGGCCGGATGCGAACTTGCAGGAACATTTCCTTTATGTCGGCTGCCACTGCAAACGGGCCTTGCCGGAACCTCAGTAATACCCCGAAGAGCGATTGCAGTAGGTCTGGTCCCGGTAGTAAAGCGTCGTTGAGGCTTCTCCCTTTAGACTTGGCTGCAGCGTCGAAGACGATCCTTATTTTCTTCTTCAATGGCTGTACCACGGAGAAATGAGGGAGGTACCATGTCTTCTTTGAATCTTCTTGTCCACCAGGTGCTTCTTCTGCATACTTGCTGTCGATTAGATGCTGGATCTGCTTATTGTATTCTGCCTTCAGCTGAGGGTCTTTGTCTATCTTCTTTTCAATGTTGAACAATCGGTTCTTGGCAGACGTGTAGCTTTCAGGCATCTGTTCATCTTCATTTTTCCATAGAAGTCCAGCTTCAAATCGACCATCTTCTAGTCTTCTGCAGGTCTTCTCTAGGATGGTGAGTGCTCTTCCTTCTGAATCCTTAGTGGGTCTTCTTGGTAGTACTCCAAGTGCTTCGATTGCGAAGTGATCCTTGATGGCTTGATGCATCTCTTCTTCTGGCGTGCTGACATGTAGACACGTGTTTAAGAAGTGCACCACTTTCGCGCCTCCAGTGTCTGACCCGTGGAGCACCCATCCAAGTCCTGTTCTTGAAGCGACTGGTTGTCCTGGTTTCCCTCTTCTTACTTCTTGAGTCACGATTAGCTCCCAGTTGTCTTGACCGATGAGCAGCTGTGGTGACTCCCCCTTATAATATAGAGAGTCAGCAATCTTCTTCAAGTGTTGACACTCTTCTATCCTTTTCTTTTCTAGGAACTGCGGTGCAAGCTTCAACTCTTCGATGGTCCGGACTCTTCTCAAGGTCTTCTTGGTCTTCTGATGAATCCCCTTCACCGTAAGGTCAAGCATCTGAGAGTCTTCCTTCCTTATCAGCCTGCCTCCAACAGTCTCGATGACCAGTTCCTCCTTTCTTCCTTGAGCGCCGATTTCTTCTGCTACCTTCTGGTCTAGCAGCGACACTGTTGACCCTTCATCCATGAGGGCCAATATCTTCTTTGATCCTTTTGACCCGAAGATTTCTATCGGAATTATCTTCAGGTATGCCCTTGCGTTGTTGACCGCATTCACCGATGCCATGATGCTCGCCACTTCTTGTGGTTTGTTCTTCTGTTCTTCCGAGGAACTTTTCTCTGTCTCGACGTGCAGCAGATGATGATGCCACCTCTTGCATTCCTTGCACGACGGCTTCTTGCAGCTCTCCTTCCGATGTGTCCCTTGTAAACACTTGAAGCAAACGCGGCTTTTCTTCACTATTGCCCATCGATCTTGCACAGACGCCTTCAGGAACTTCTGACACCCGACGAGGAAGTGTTCACCCTCACACATGGGGCAAGTCTTCTCTGATCTTGAAACCTTTTCTTTGAAGTCCTTTTCCTTAGTTGAATGCGTTGCTTGTCGATGAGTCCGTCTGAACCCGCTCTTCTCTTCTGTTGATGCATAGGCTCCACACTTGTCTGCTTCTCTGTTCAGGAACTTGGACACCAGTGTTAGGTCGGAGAACTCGCCTTCTTCTGTTGTTTCAATAAAGTCGTACCATCGGAACTTGAGGATCGTAGGCATCTTCTCAATAATTTGTTTCACCATCTCAGGTGAATGCAGGTACTGTGGTTTCTTCAATCCTTTTATTGCCGCTACGCTGTTGCTGATCTGGCTCGCGAAGAGGCATATGTCCCTTGGGTTTTCAGAAATCTTCGGCAACGTTTTGACCTTGTCCAACTCTGCCAGCACCAGTGCATCTGGTCTTCCATATCTTCTTCTGAGGGCTTGAATCACTTCCATCGGAGAGGCTTCGGAGTACAGCAGACTCTTGATAGCTTCTCTTGCGTTGCCCTTCAGTGCTCTTCTTAGCCGAGCCATATTCTGGACGTTGTTGAACATCGGTGCTGTATCTTCATAGACAACCTTGAAGGCCATCCACTCGCTGCTGTTGCCGTCGAAGTAGGGTAACTCGTGAATGTAGGTTGGCTGTCCTGCTGGTCCTCGCGTGGTAAGAGCTTCCTTCAATGCTGCCGTCAGTGCTTGAATTTCAATCGTAGCTCCTCTCGTTGAGGAGTTCTCTTCAGGCTTCATCTTCTGTGGCTCTTCCAAGGGGTGTGGACCTCGCATCTCTGGTTGAACTTTGTTGCCATCCTCCAGCACAGACGTCTCGATCCAGTTCTGCACCTGTGCTGTTCTGTCTTCCAGGTCTTCATCCACGGAGTCCTCTTCTTCACACTGTGCCATCTCCAATCTGACACGGGCTAGCTTAGTTTCAGCCTGTGCTTGCTTCAACTCCAGGCGTGCCAACTCTTCCTTTGCTTCTAGCTCGCGTCTTCTGGCCGAGGAACTCGTGGTCTTCGTGGACCTGGCGCGACGACTGACCCCCATCGGTTTCAGGGTCTTGGAGGAGCCTTGAACATCCTTTCCAGGTACATCTTCTTGGCTCTTCCTGGTCATCCTCTGTGCAGCATCTTCTTTGTTGCCTTCCATAGACGCCGCCGTAGTTGCAGTCGTAACCGTAGTCTCCGTCACTGTGGTGCCCTCCGTGGTCGTGGTACCCGAAGAAGTGTTCGATGTAGTTGCAGTTCCCGATGACGCCGACGCTGACGTGACCCCTTCTGATCCCGACGTTCCATCTGTCGCGTCCCTATCTGAAGGACGGGACCCGGGACGTGAGGGGGCATCCTTCTGCGACCTGGTTACCGGCATCTTGAACGCAATCTTTTGTTTCTTCTGAACTTCTTCTAGCAGGGATCCGGCTCGAAGGACCAACTGTTTCGGACGACCAGAACCAGGGTATGTCTAGTACCCGGAGGTCGACCTGGGACAATCTCCCAGACGTTCTTGGCGTACACGGCAGTATGTCCGTTCGCTGGTAATGTACGCCACCACGCACCCCTGAATGCGTAGCTTGGGTCCCGATCCACTAGGGTTTCTTCGTTGACAGGAGACTATACTTAGAGGCGATGAAATAAAAACACAATTTTTCCTTTTTTCTCTCTTGGTTTCGGTTCTTCCTTTTCCTTTTAGTTGTTGCCTCTTCGGTGGCTGTCTTGCGACTGACTCGAATCGAGAAATGGCTCGCCTTTTATTTGGCCCGTTAATACCTTACAGAGAGCCGCGTACTTTGAGCTCATTTTTCGAATAAAATTTCCCTAAACCGAAACCTTGAGAGTCCTTTTATTTTATGTTTTCAGTAAAACACCTTACACATATTTATTTATTTACATGCCTTACATACTATTATACAATATTAAAACATAATATTCAATATATAATAATTAATTAAAAAAGTCTTAAAACAAAAATATCTAAATTTCTAGGTTGCTACATTTTTACTATACATTTTCCCTTATAACTTTTGAACGGATAGTCCTATCGACCTAATTCTTGTTTTATTATAAGTTTTATAATAAAATCTATTATTTAAAACATAAACTATTATGCTATTGCAAGAAACAAAAAATCTCATTTTCAAGTTACGTAATTATATGCTAACATTTTACTTACGTACCTATTCCTTTCAAATTAATGTTAAATAGTCTTATATGATTCAAATAAGCAAAAAATACTCTAAACTAACCTTATTACACTAATTAGAACTTATTTTAACATAATAAATCTAATAAGAATGAGATTTCATATTTACAACAATTATTCATAATACGCTAAAATGACATTGTCCCTATATTAATACACACGTTACTCGAAGATAAGTTTTCCGTCGCCGACAGATGTCGCACCTCTTATATTTTCATGTTTGAATCATTTTCAACGTGACTAACATCCTCACTTAGTGGAGACTAGCTCACCAAATATCCTAAGGGCCTGCATGTCTGAGAGAACCTAAATATTTGGCCGTTGCAGCAATATAAGATTATTTCAATCTATTTTATTGAAATAGAAATAACAATCGTGCATATACATACGCCTTTTTAATGTCACTGTTTTTTTTTACTAAAATCTGTCAAAAATGTAATTTGTTTAAAAGGCTATTAATAAAAGGTTTTTATCAAAAATAGATAAGTATTTGTGTATATATTTGTGCCTAACATAGAAATACATACATATGAAGTATGCCAACCTGTACTTGGCCAGCGAGGTGAACTATGACCTGATAAGGCATGTGCCCAGCAGTGGGACGTTAAAACGGCTGAATATTAATATATATTTTACTAGCACTGCCCGCGGCTCTGCCCGCGTTCAGATTACTAAAAACCAAATTCTTAGGTTTTACATATTAGTATACTTTTACATTGCAGTTTTTGCATTTTTTCTCAGAAATGAGACATTTTCCCGCGGTAAAAAGTATCCTATATGTTGACCTGGATAACCAGCTATCACCATACCAAATTTCATCAAAATATCTCCAGTAGTTTTTCTGTGATGCGGTAACAGACAGACAAAAATTCTAAAAACTATAGATTCGGCATCTGTATCGATAATAATGTTTATTTCAATAAGATTTTCCAAAAAATATTAAATGTACTGATTTGGCTTAGCTACAATTTTATTATATGTACTCGTATAGATAATTCAGACTGATAGTTTAATTTTTACGTTAGTGAATACAAGAAGTATGTATGACATATGTATTTACGTCAATATGTAAAACTATAAAACGCTAGTAAAAATTCATATCAGTTATTCACGATGCTCACTTTATTAATGTCCGTTATATTTTTCGCTCCAATAGATGGGGCCTACATAATATCTATATATGGAGACGTCTTTACAGATAGCGATTTCTTCACCAGGACTTTTCCTTGGATAATAGATAATATTGGTGGAGAAATAGCAGTAGAATACTATTTGCAAGGCAGCGGTAGATATTCCGTGCCTCAGATGTGCGCTTTGAATGAAATGAAAATGAATACGTTTCTGCAGGCGCAGTATTTGAAATGCGAAGCCGAGGGTGAGTTACGTGCGTCTTAAAATATATGTTACCTTTCTACAATCGATATAGCTAAAAGAAAACTAGAATATAGAAAAAAATATCGTGACCATGTGATATAATGCTTAGATATGTCATTTAGATGTACTTTAGTAAAGCTTTATTTTGTCTATTAAATAAATTATTACCACTGTGTCTTATTTGGACCCAGTTATGCAAAAAACAGCCATGTGCGTAAAAGTACCAACAGAGTTATAAGCACTGTACTTGGGTTATGTTTTGTTTTTCTGGTTATATTAAATTTGAACAATATTTATATAAGTATTGTTTATTTTTTATAATTATCTTATTCTTTATAATAAAATGCTTATAACTCTGTTGGTACTTTTACGCACATGGCTGTATTTTGCATAACTGGGTCCATTTGTTTGTTTTCCTGAATGCAAAATAGCAAAGGATTAACGTATTGTTTTCTATAAGTGTGATGGTGGGCAAGAGACTGTCATAAAAGGAGCTTAAACCACTCTCTGTTACTTTACACTTAGCAGATTCTCGTTTAGTTAAAAAACTTCTTTGACTGAATTATAGTAAAAAAGATATTAAAACTTTTTAATTATTTTATCGGGAATTAGTAATATTTTTTTTGCTTTATAAGATTTATATTTAGTACTAGCAAGTAGCAACTAACCCTCGCTTCGCTCGGGTTCGTCCTTAGGTACGCTTTAACGGTTAGTATAGTTTCCCAAGATGAGATATTTTCCCGCAGTAAAAAGTATCCTATATATTGACCCGGATAACCAGCTATCATCATACCAAATTCCATCGAAATCTGTCCAGTGGTTTTCTCGTGATGCGTTCCCAGACAGACAGACAGTCAGACATTTTAAAAACTCTAGATTCGGCCTCTGTATCGATAATAAATAATAATGACTATTTCAATAAGATTTTCCAAAAAATATTTTATGTACAGATTCGACTCAGTTAGAATTTTATTATATGTATATATTTTTTAGGTTTTTGTCGAACGTATTTCTTTTTTTAATATTTATTTTTAGGTTATATTTTAATATCATAACTTGCTTACAGGTAACTCTAGTGAAAGCTGTCTCTGTGCCACTGGAATAGACCCAAAGAAATATAAACACTGTGTGCTAACGAAAGGCAATTATGCCAGTTTATCTTCATCCAAATATAGTCAGCTAGGCATCGATGCGAGTCCTATCGTAGAAATTGGTTACAAAAACACTATATTTGAAGTTTCTGATAGCTGGTATTTAAAGAAAATTTGCACTATTTTTGGCGATAACCTGCCTAGAGGTTGCGTTAAACCTTTCTCATGTAATAGTACTGAAGCTGTAAGTGAAAGACGCACTGGTCTAGCAGTTTTTGAATGTCCTGAATGCCATAATTTGAACGTGAAGTTAGAAGTGAAAAATTCTGCAAATATGACACCTTCAGATGAAGTTTATAGTACTACTGGTACTACTCCTTCAAAATATCAAAGTTTTAATACAGAAGCTAGTTACTACCAATAATTATTAAATTTTATCTAGTACAAAGCTAATAAAAGAACTTTTTAAATCCTGTATCTTGACTTTTGAGCAGATTGCGTCCTTAATAAATATTATTATTTTATGCTATTATATTTATTTTTTATTGAGAGCTCATTGTATCGTATGCTTTTCAAGACAAAGGATTTGATCCGTTTTTCCTTCAGTTTACTTAGTTTGGTACTTTAAAACGTACATTTAATATATTCATATACATAGATCAATTACCGTGTCTCGCACCTCTAATATTTTCATTTGGGAATCATTTTCAACATGATTACCACTTGTCTTACGGTGAAAGAAAACATCGTGAGGAAACCTGCATCTCTGAGAGAACTTAACTTTATGTAAGACATATGAAGTCCGCCAACCCCCTCTTGGCCAGTATGGTGGACTATGGCCTGATCCCCCTCGTATTGGAGGAATACAAAGATAGATATAGTAATGTTATATAAATTTAAGGCAATTTGAATATTTCGGCATTATGATTGTGTTTTAAATTGTTGATGTGTGATGACGTCATATCTTAGTAAATAATAAAAAGTGTCGTGACGGTCGAAATATTACATTTGTTTACGTCTAGCCAAGTATGCCGAGTGTATTGATAATTTGCATTAAGGAACATCGGTCCAAGAATACTGTTAAAGGTGAAGTATTTATTTTTTAAGCCATTTTAAACTCAATTTTTATGTTCCAACCCAAAAAATATAGACAGATATTCGATATAAAACAATCCCTTTCACAGACATGTCCAGGCTTCAACTATAGTAAGAAGTAACGCAGTGATACGCCGCATTGCACACAATTGCACGTAACGCAATTTGCTTTCCGACTGCCGTTGCGATAATTATGCGGATCTATATAGAGCTGTTTATTTTGATTTTAATTAAATGATAATAAAATTAATATGTCATTGAAATTCATTTATTATGTAAAAAAGGTTGTAATCTTCTTTAAAATAAATTAATACAAAAGCTACAATATTATTATTTCAATAGGGAGTGTGCAGTTTGTAAGTTGTGTATGTATCTTAATCTCCGAAACCTGCATTTGTTTGAAAAAATCTTTAATAATTTTAAAGATATATTAAACCAGACAGATATTCATTTGTATTCAGCCCTTTAACGTTTTACTGCTGGGCACGGGACTCTCTTCAATTCGAAGTGGATCGGGCCATAGTCCACCTCGCTGGCCAAGTGCGGGTTGGCGGACTTCACAACTTCTTCTGTCTTTCGAAAATTTGATAAGTTCTTACAGGTTTCCTCACGATATTTTCCTTCATCGCAATAGGCAATATATTATATATGTACATATATATTGTACAAATTAGCTTAACTTACTATGAGATTTGTTAATCTAGTCGGAAAAACTATTTTTTTAAGAGCTACTACGGGACGTGATGCGATATTTTAAGTTACATTAAAATAATTCATAGCTGAATTCTTCCTCCTAAAAAGTACTAGAGTATGTTTATCTTCTGAGGATAATAATGTATTTTAAAAAGATTTTGTTTTATTAATATGTAGGTACATAAATGTATAATCATTATAAGTATTTAATTTAGGCCCTAATTACTTGTTTCATATTTAAAACGTATATAGAATATATTACACCATAAATAATATAAAATAATTTCTTAGGAATTATCTTAGAGGCAATACCTGCATTGACCATACACATGAAAGCAATTTGGTAGATTTTGATGCAAGTTGTATAATATATAACAATTACTGGTGAATTATCTATTTATGTCTAATTTATATTTTCTCCTCATTTCTTTGTTTCTATTTTAATAAAAAAATTGTATCGTTCTTTTACGACAATAAACGATGTATTTTTTAATTTTAAATAATAATAATAACCTCCTTATCGTTCATAATCAATCGCCAAAGCGGCCAATTTCTTTGAGATTAGCTATGTGCCTAGGAGATATAGTGTTTTCATTCTCTAACTCCAATAGGATGACAATAATTCGAAACATTTTGACAGATCAGCCGCATGTCCGATGGTTCAACGTGCTATCTGAAGCATGTGGGTGTAACACCGCCAGCTTCACAACTAAGTTGTTATTGAGAATTGCTTAACAGAAAACTTGGCTCAACCTGAAACTTGAACCAAGAACCAGATCCTAGGTAACAGACCAACGAGGTGTATAAGGGTATCAAGATTAAATAAACAAATACAGCTCTATACACATAGCGATATTCACTAACGCCCGCATGAACTGCCTCTCGATTGATATGCATAACTACGGAATACACTCGGGGACTGTAATAGACGTTTATCATCTAATCTATACACAAAGCGTACGTTTTGCTTGCAATTGTAAATTATTTACATACCAGCGACTTACTTTTTAGCTCGAGTGCGTCTCAAGACTAACTAACCTAGGTTTTATTCCAGGTCATAGCCCGTGTGCTAAGTTTCATCTATATCTTATATATATATGTATATATAATGATGTACTTATATATATATATATGTTTATATATATAAGTACATCTGTGAATCTTAAAATGAAAAGGGGTCGTTATTGAGATATATACTTATACTACGAGTACTTGATAGATTATATACTTATGATAGGTTATTTTTTTCCATTTTTATATGTAATATATTTTTAAAATACCATAAATTGCAATTTATATTTATATAAAGCTTAGTTATTCGTATATAAAGACTTATGTATCTCTTAGTTGCATTTAAAGCATTAGTAATGAGCTGACCTGATGTTGACGTGGTTCGTTACTTTGATGAATTGATCTGAAGCTGACACTGACATATAAAGGCCGTCTTCCTTATAAGCGAGAGCTATAAAAGCATAAAAGTAGTGGTGAATTGAGCGAGCTGGATCAAAGAAGATCCATCTCTCTCAATTCACGTTTTCAAAAACTTAGAAAAGTCTGTTTTTCATATTTTACTTCTCAAAACTTGTAAAATCAGTTTTTTAACATATTATTTCAAAAACTTATAAAAGTCTATTTTTCGTATTTCACTTCTCAAAGTTGTGAAATCGGTTTTCAACATATTTTCAAATTTGACTAATTGTTAATTTTAATTATTACTTTTAAAATTTGAAGTCCTAGGACGGTTGAAATCTGTATTTTATCTGTATATTGTTAATATTATTGATACGTTCAAACTGCTTCATTCCAAAATATTATTGATCTGTTCAAACTGTTTCATTCCAAAATATTATTGACCTGTTCTAACTGCTTTATTCCAAAATATTATTGATCTGTTCAAACTGTTTCATTCCAAAATATTATTGACCTGTTCTAACTGCTTTATTCCAAAATATTATTGATCTGTTCAAACTGTTTCATTTCAAAATATTATTGACCTGTTCAAACTGCTTCATTCTAAAACATTTAAAATATGCTCAAAACGACTATTTGAAATCAATTTTTGTACTTCTTAGAATTTGACAAATAGGTCCTATACATATTAAATTATTATTATCATTTCAGATTTCAGGGTAATTTAATATAGTATTAAAAAAAAATTATTATTTTAGAATTTTATTTTCTTTACACCATTTACTTAAACACATTACATTTTTTAAAGCACATATTTTAGAATGATAAATACAACTGTTTACATCATCTGACATACTATACTTATCATATAAACTAACTAAATTAGGACAAGTTTGATCTTCTAAATTAAAAACATTATTATTTTTGGATATTTCTTTAATCCAAGACATTTTTTCAAGACCTTTAGTGTAAATTTTTTTATTAGCTAAAATTGGTATAATATGATCCTTATGATTTGAATAAGGTATATGACCTTCTTTCCAAAATATTCCTCTATTTCTTTCAATCCAGCTTACTTGTCTTCGTTCCGTTGGTGTCAAATCATAGAATGGGTACGGTTGCTTATAAAGCAGAACTTGAATTCTATTATCATATGCAACCGCAAATTCTTTTAAGATAAAATTATTATTATCAATCTTAAAACCTTGAACGTCTACTATGGCAATCATGATATCTTGCGTACGATATTACTTAAAGGTTTATACTCTATAAGACGGTCATTTATTATGAGACAATATGCAGACGTACTTGCTGGAATATCTTCAGTACTTTCAATTTCTAATCGCACATCGACTGGTCCAGTTTTCAAAGTCTCGTTCTGTCTCGAGCAATCAATGATAAACAGTGGCGCCTTTTCTTTAAAAGTATGCAGATCTAACAGGGGGTCCATATGAATGTTGTAATAAGACTGACGAAATTGAGTGTACATTTCGTATAATATACCATATTTATCTTCATCAAAGTTTAAGTTCAGTGATTCGTATGGATAGTAATTGGAGTTCAAAAATAATGTTACTCTAGATATTTTGCAATGATCGAATACAGAACAATCTTTTGCTTTATTAAACTTTCCATCAGTTTGCAGACCAAAGATAACATATCGTGGTTTCTCTGTCTGTGAAGCCGTTTTAACAGACCAAGAATGTTTTGTTGTTTTAGGTAACAACGGATACTCATACAGATCCCAATTTCTAAAAGCAATTTGAAATTTGAAAATATGTTGAAAACCGATTTCACAACTTTGAGAAGTGAAATACGAAAAATAGACTTTTATAAGTTTTTGAAATAATATGTTAAAAAACTGATTTTACAAGTTTTGAGAAGTAAAATATGAAAAACAGACTTTTCTAAGTTTTTGAAAACGTGAATTGAGAGAGATGGATCTTCTTTGATCCAGCTCGCTCAATTCACCACTACTACGTATTAAAAATACTAAGAGTTGTATTAATATTTAAAATGAAGACGATCACTGTTTTTTATGGAGTATAGTTGCAGCATTATATCCAGCAAAAAATAACGTATGTAGAACTAGATCTTATCCTCATTATAGTAATGTGTTCAAAATAGATGGTATGTCTTTTCCACCTACTACACATGATCTCAAAACTTTTGAAAAGCAAAATTCTAATATAAGTTTCAACATTTATGGTCTCGATAATTGTA